AATTAAAAAAATAAAAATAAAAAAAAATTTTAAAAAAAAGCAGCTTATGCTATCAAATCGAGTAGGCCTTATAGTGCATAGACGTTATCAATTGTTCTGAACCTTTTCCTATCCTGTGCCATCCTCACAATCTCAGATACACTCAAGCCAATTGCTGCAGTCACTGTGTAAATCCACCTGGTTGAATGAGTTTCTCTCCTTCGCTGTCCCTCCACCTTTCCGAGCATGATGTCCTTCTCTAAGGAATAACTTTTCCTAGCAATATGTCTAAAGTTTGTGATACAAAGCTTCGTCATCCTATCCTCCAAGGAGCACTTTGGCTGCATTTTCTCTAGGACATATCTATTTTGGCAGTCCATGGGATATTCAGCACTCTTCTCCTACACCACAGTTCAAAGGTATCAGTTCTTTGTCATCCTTAATCATACCTACCTTATGTATGAGGAAAAATCTCTTATCTGTAAAAACAAGAATGCATTTGTCCACCCCTCCCAAAAGTATTAAAGAGCAAGGATATCACTCTGAGGAATAAGATGTGCCTGACCAAAGGTGTGGTCTTTTCTTTTGAATGCCTTAGTTGCATGTGATTTGAGCAATGGAAAAGGAAGGCCAAAGAAGAAATGATGCCTCTAAATTTTTGTTAATTTTATGTGCCCTCCAATTGACTAAGAACTCAAAGCTACCCTATAAGTAAAAGATCAGTAAGTCTTTAAACTGAAATCCTTATTCCTTAGCACTCTGTAGAGGTTCTGGGCAGATTTCACCAAACAGCTGTTACCATAAGTGCTGACTGAGGATACTAGTTAAATGAAATCATCATCAGTTTCAATCTTTTCTCCATCTATCATGATGAATTTTTGTTTTCTTGTTGTTGAGATCTATATTGTAATCTGTAGTTTTTGATCTTCTGAATTAAGTGCTTCAAATATTCACTTTCTGCATGTCATCAGCATAACGCAATCTGATGAGTTGTCCTCCAATCCTAATGCTGCACTCTCCTTCATAAAGTCAGCTTCTCGGATTATTTGCTCAACATACGAAAGTCACACAGCTGTCGAGGACTTTTGTTCATAGGGTCGCTATGAGCTGCCTATGACTTGATGGCACTTAGCATCATAGAGAGAGACCAACTGGTCTATTAGACTGAAAGTGATGCTACCAAGCCACAAGCGGGTGACTCTAATCCACGGCCCTAAGGCCTGTCTTTAATTGTTTTGGTGAAACATTTTTCTAGGTCGTATAGCCCTGGTGTATTCACTTGCTGTACAGAGGTAACTTGTGGTCGCTGTGAAGCTGAACATTCAAATGTGATAATTGTTACCCATGGCAGACAGTGTTTGGTTGCACTCCCCGGGTAAAACTAGCTTGGAAGCAGGAGTGGCATCCACTTACATAAACAGCTTGCCTTGGGAAACCCTATGAACATGGAGAAAGAATGAAAGTCACGCAAATGTCGAGGACTTTCGTTCATAGGGTCGCTATGAGTTGCCTACGACTGGACGGCATTTAACAACAGTAACAACAACAACATATATACTAAATAGGATATACTAAATATATACTATTATATATAATATATATAAATAATACTAAAATATATACTAAATAGAAGGACACAAGTCTGACGCACATCTTTTATGATTTTAAGCCATGCAGTGTATACTTACTGTGTTCTGAGCATTTTTTTAAAAGAATTGTGGTGTTGGCAAAAAATATGGAAAATACTCTGGAATGCCAAGAGAGTAAATTAATCTACTTTGGAAGATATAAGGCCAAAGTCCTCCTCAGAAATGAGGTTAATGAGATGTCATGTCATATACTTTTGGGCATATTATCAGGAAGAGGGTCAATCCCTGGAAAAGAAGACTCTACTTGTAGATAAGCTATTACTAGAAATGGTCAATGTCAAGATTATCCTATTGTACAGGTATTAATCATAATGTTAAACATAAAACTTTCATAACTAAACCAATGAAAAACACCTAACCCTTCCTAGAATAACAGAATTTGCCCTTCTGATCCCTATTATCATACCTTGTGTCTACATTTTAACACTTGTTCTAGGAAGCCCATGGTTAGCCAAATTCTGCCATCTGGAGTCACTGATGTAAAGGGGTCAGCTCTACTAAGGTGGTCAGTCAGGACCCTGACATCAGCGACTTTGCAGGTGTTAAGCCACTGTGGAGTCAAACTTGACTCAGAGGGACCCTCCATCACCTTTAAGCTTGGATATCATTAAAATACTCCAGCTGTTCACCCTAATTTGAGGTGTTTTCCTTTAACTATTGTAACACTGTAGTTCCATCACATAGTATGTTAAGAGAAAGACCGGCTCCGCCGGAGAGTAAGCTGTAAGTTGGTTCTGACTGGACGCCAATGAGCTGTTTTAAATATTGCATTACAAGATACCTGTCAGGAAATTATTTGTCCCCAGGACTTCTCCTGGGTTTGAAATGCTTACTTGTGGATGAACTCGTATCCGGACACGATATTGCCCAGCTGATCAGATCCACCCAGCTGGACCCGGCATCCATACTGCTGAAACAAGTAGTAAAAATCATAGGCCTGAAACACCTGGTATAAGAATTCTGCCAAGCTCATGCCCTCGGGGCTCTTGAGCCGTGCCTGGACACTCAGTCGGCTAAGTAGTGTGCCCATACGGAAGTGGCCGCCCACCGCTGCCAGGAAGTCCACCAGGTGCTGCTGCTGGTACCAAGACGCGTTGTCCAGTACTGTGAAGCTCCCCCATGTCCGCCCATCTGCAAAGAGCTCCCGGTGATTAGCTGCCAGCGATTGCAGCGCACCGCGGAGGGCGCGTGCGTTCGCTCGGACGCATTCAGAATCAAGCGCCTCCCGTTCCTTAGTGCGGCCGCTGGGGTCCCCCAAGCGTGCAGTAGCGCCTCCGACCAGCGCGATCACATTGTGTCCGGCTCGCTGAAAGTGAAACAGGCCCAGTAAGGCTAGCAGATGCCCCACATGAAGCGAATCGGCCGTGGGGTCGAAGCCGCAGTAGACAGTCTGGGGGAAGTTACCCGCCGTGCGACGGTCAAACAATTCGGGAAGTTCTACCTCCGTACTTCTGTCCGGAAAAAACTCCTTAAACAGTCCTCGCTCTTTCTGCGCTGCCAAGAATCCCTGAGTGCCCGAGTGCACCTTACGTAGTCCCAGTGGCCAAACTGCTAACCAACCAGGGGTACAGAATGCCCCAAGACGGGAAATGTACCGCAGCATGGGCGCAGCCATCTTGGAGCAGCACGAAGAGAATGCTGGGACGTTGGAAGCTCCGCCCAGCCGGCCTTTTAGTGGCTTTAGTGATTTGACAGCTTGTTTCTGCTCATGCCCACGTGGACCGTGACTTCCGTGCTCTTGGAAGTTGCCGCAGTATTATTGACAATTCAAGCAGCTGTTGGGCTTTATTGTGTGACCACTCTAAGTTCTCTGAAACTTTTATTTCTTTATCCTTACAATAATAGTTCTTCCTTTTAAAGACTATCCTGAGGATTAAGAATTAAAGCCACGGTAAATGATTTACAAATGTTTGCTCTAGTTTAAATGTTCAGTATGTTTTATTTAAATTTAGAAAGACGGTCCAGAAAGTTCTTGAAATCTTAGCCTTATGCAGAAACCTATTTTTAAAAGCTGGTTTTTAATGGGGAGGTATGGATTTATGTTGATGTGCAAATGATACTCTTGGTATCAGTGGGTAAGGAGCTTTGGTGGCCCAACTTCATAATACTGTTGTTATGTATTGAGACCGAGCCAATTCATAGGTGACCCTCCAACAGATTTTTAGAAGCTGTAGATAGCAATGGAGGCCATCTCCCATGGAGCATTCGTGAATTTGAACCGCTTGACTTTTGCTTGGCAGCACAACTCCTTACCACTAAGCCACCAGGGCTCCTACAATTTTATAGGTAAGGAGCTACGGTGCCTGCCCAAAGCCTTGAGGTTCATATCCACAAGCTGCTCAGTGGGAGAAAGATGGGCAGCCGCCTCCCGTGGGATTTATGGCCTCCATGGGACGAAAATCCACTGGAGGGTCCACTATGAGTCGGTTGTTAACTTGAGGGTACATAACAGTGAGTAAGGGGAGTTCTGGTGGCCTCGTGGGTACAGAGTTATGCAACTAACACAAAGGAAAATGGTTGGTATTCACCAACGGTTCCTCAGGAATAATTGGGCAGTCTCTCCCTGTGTGATCTACAGTGTCTGTAAAACCCCCTGGAGGGTCAGTTATGAGTCAGTTCTAACTTGAGGCATAAAACGCTTCCCCAAGTGGATGGATGAATGAACTTTCAGGAAAACAAAACCCATAGCTGCTAAGTTGATTCTGACTCAAAAGAATTCTATAGTAAAGAGGGCTGTAAACTTTACAGAAAGTAGCTCTCGTAGGGTGGTCCTTAGGGAACTGCCTTGCTGATCCCAAAGCTGCACCTCGCTGGTGGTTCCCTAGGAGAAAGTTGGGCAGTCTTCTCCCTCTGGATTTATAGTCTCCGAAACCAGTTCTTAACTCCTTTGCAATAAGAGCAAGAGGGAGAGAAAGAGAAAATCTTTACAGAAGCAGACTATGACACATGAACATCAGCTGAGTGGCTCTGACATTGTGACAAGCAGCCAAGCACTTCGCCAGTGCACCACCCAGAGTCCCTTGGAATACATCTGTCTTCTATATCTATGAGCTTTTCCAGGAGATGGCAGCCTTGTCCAAGCCATTTAGAAAGAAACTGTAACAACCTGTGTAAAACCTTATGTTTTATTACCAAAAAAGAAGAAAAATAAAAAGATAATTTGGTTGAGACACAGCTTTAGCAGGGGTGGCTTAAAATTCTCACTCATTCCCTCTAAATATGTTCTGATCTGTCATCTGAGTTTCTGAGGCTCCAAATCTTCATACTAATTCAGAAATTCAATATTGTACACTTCTAGCACATTTCAAATTAAGGTGTTACAAGTGCTTGATAGGTACCATATTGAATATGCAGAATAAAGAGATTTTAAATGTTTCCTAGTGAAATTATTGCTGGGTGCCATCATGTAAACTATGACTGATGTTGTTAGGTGCTATCAAGTCGAGTACGACTCATAGCGACACTATGAACAATCTGAACCCACTTCTATCCTGTGCCATCCTCACACTTCGTGACATATAAGAGCCCATTGTGGGAGTTTTCTTCTTCTTTGCTGATGCTCCACCCTTCCCAGCACCATGTCTGTCTCCTAGGAATAACCCTCCTAGCCACATGTCCAAAGTATGCAAGGTGAAGCCTCATAGTGACCCTACAGATGACATATTTGAACCTTTCCCAAATCTGCACCATCCTTACAACCTCAGTTACACCAAAGCCCATTGTGGTATTCACTGTGTCAATCTATCTCATGGAAGATCTTCTCTTAATAGAAGAATATATATTTGTGCTTTATTGATTATGCAAAGGCATTTGACTCTGTGGATCATAACAAATTAGGGCTAATACTTAAAAAACTGGGAAATCCAGAACACTTAATTGTGCTTATACAAAACCTATACCTAGAACAAGATGCTGTTGTCTAAACTGAGCAAGGGACTATCACATGGCTTAAAAATAGGAAAGGTATGCAACCTTTCTCCATACCTGTTGAGTCTGTATGCTGAGCAAATTATCAAAGAAGCTGGACTCTATGAAGAGGAATGTGGCATCAGGATTAGAGGAAAACTCACCAGTTACCTTTGTTACCTTTGACACAACCTTGCTTGCTGAAAGTGGGAAGGACTTAAAGTACTTGTTGCAGAAGGGTAGACAATGCAGCCTACAATATGTATTGCATCTCAGTGTAAAGAATACAAAAATCCTTACCACTGGACTGATAGGCAACACCATGATGGATGTAGAAAGGATTAAGACTGTCAATGACTTCATCTTACTTGGGTCTACAATCAATATACCTGGTACCCACACTTAGGAGATCAAGACGTGTATTGCAATGGGAAAGTCTATAGTCAGGGGCCTCTTCAAATAAATGATCCAGGAAGTATTAAAAGAAGATGGAAGGAATATACTGAGTCATTATATAGAAAGGAATTGGCAGATACAGAGGAATTTAAAGAAA